CTCAAATATTTGAGAACTACCTGTCTATTCCATCAGTATGACTACCCAACAAAAGGATAATTGTACTTGATGATGAGCACAAAAGACATCAATGGTATTAGTGCAAAGAAACAATCTCTTAAAGTTAAACTTTTCAAACAACGGGGAAGTGTTTCTCTATCCCCCCCCCTCCCAAATAATTGCCTCGTTCAAGCAAAACCCATAATCTTCGGTTTTTTTAAATACTGAACTTAATAGAATTTGCAATATTTTGTTTACACCTCTTGACACACATCAAATCCAAGCGAACTATTTTTCCTGTAATGCTTCATTTCATTTGCCCCACAGGAAAGATTAGCATTTGTGTGAGCTCAGTCCTGTGCTGGCTTAATTATTTGTTCCCGTTGATGGAAGCATACGGGGAACTGTATGACGTCATTCTGCGTTCCTGTCGAGACGTCATTTGTGGCAAAGGACGCCCGAGCCAAAAGAGATCATCTGTGAACTTGACCAAGGTCCTCTAGTTGAAGCCTCTTGTTCTGGCAGGGAAGGAAGACATGTAGGGATGAGAGGTGAGAATCCTTCCTTTACTTCCTTCATCCTTCCTCTTGTAACTCTAGCGTGCCGAGGGGAGAAAGAGCTTTCTGTCTCTAGCAAACTGGATGGCCTGGCTAGATAGAATGTTGTATGATTTAGGGTATCCTTCACAGCCTCGATCCAGGTCTTCTTTGGTCTTCCTTTGTGAGAATCTTGCCAAGAAAATTGAATATCTACCAGGAATAGAGGAGAACAAGAAGCGTGGCAAATTCTTTTCAGAGATATAGATTTCTTTGAGCAAGTAGTTTTGTAAAATCTTTAACAAATTGTTTTCGATAGTGACGGGAGACGATAAATTAAATATCAACCCTCGCGAAAACTTGAAGGTTTTGTCGTAGCAGATTATCTGTCTCTATTACCATAGTTTATACCCTGCTTCCTTATCTCTTCACGTACTTCACTTTCCTCTTCCCACCCCTATCACAAAGTCAGAGTAAAAAAGAAACAATAAAATGTTATCAAAGAATATTGAAAGAATTAAAAAGAATAATAATGCAACGATCATCATCATCATCATCCTCATCATCAACATCCTCATCAGTATCATCATCATCATCATCATCATCATCATCATCATCATCATCATCATCATCATTATCATCCTCATCCTCATCACCATCATCATCATCATCATTAGGATTATGGCTTATAGGATCATGGCTCATAAATGATGATGATGATGATGATGATGATGATGATGGAAGATGATGATGATGATGATGATGACGATGATGATGATGAGGAAGATGATGATGATGAGGATGATGATGATGATGATATCACCAGGTGTGGCCGCCTCTGTCATCCTGACGATGAGTGTCCTCCTAACGTCAGCTCTTGAGACTGGCATTGACAAAGGTGAGTGCGCATGCCAGTGTCAGAATAAAAGTTCATAAACGGGAAAATGTCTCTCATTGCACTGCCATAAATAAATGTGAGGCACTGGGATGGAATCAGGTGCTCATCAAAATAGTGAAATTGAAAAAATCGAAATGTTTCGCTTGCTAGGCATATTTTTACCGAATGTCTTTCTTTTCTAAATCAGCATCTTTCATGTCCTTTTGAGTACACGTTTCTCTATTTTTTGTTTTCTGTTTTTGTAAAGTGTTTTACGGCGCTCGCAACTGCATAGGCCATATGAGCGCGCGGGACACACCTAATATTTTCAGT